GGACGAGAAGGATAAGGTGGTGGCTAGTGGTGCAAATAGTGTTTTGTTATTTGCTTGCACCGTGGTGCAAATTATTGTTCAAGTACTATCTACACCACCATGTTCCTGGTGGTGCTAATAGTATTTTAAGGGTTGCTTACACCGGTAAGGGATAATACTTTAGTGGTGATAATAGTGAACTTGGAGTTGCTTGCACCACTTGGTGGTGCATATAGCTCTCGGCAGATAGTTTGCACCACTGGTGTAAATAATTTAGGCCAATTTCTATAGGTTATTAATTTCTTTTTAGGTCGAGGAACAGAGAAATCAAAAGTTGCCCAAATAAAGTCATGGCCAGAAAAACCTGCAGCTGGAATTTGCCCAAAATCTAGTAGGTGTTCAGGGCAGTTTGTGGCAGTTATGTCCAGATTTGAGTCACAGAACGCTGTGTGAAAGGTTGGCTTGAATGGCACACAGCTGAGATTGCATAGATTGAGAGCATCAGAAATCATTTTTGGATCTTCCCCACCCCGGCCAAAACCAGCATTTATATCTCCACAAACAAAGGAGTACTTGTAACTTGTTGCATGGTTGTAGAACTCATTTATAAAGAGGTCCATATAGCATGCCTTTGGCCTTCTGTATATCCCAGCAAATAAAATTTTCACTGGTCCAACAAGTATGTCTAAGAATATAAATTCAGGCTTATCAAAGTCACCATTTGAAACTGCCAGTATTTTTGTAGTGTAGTTAGATTTAGTAAACACAGCCACTCCTCCCCCATTTCTAGATCTTCTGTTTATATTAAACATGTTGTATCCTGGTAGAGAAAATGGCTGATCTGCATTTTTAAACCATGTTTCGGACACTGTAATGATATCAAGTCCACAGTTAGAGAATGTTTCGATAAACTCTGATTTATGAGATGTATCACAAAGAGACTGTGCGTTCAGATGTGCTATTTTCAATTTGGTTTCGTGATTAATTGTTATGTTTTTTACATATTCACTAAGTCCTACATCATCACTCATTGAGGTTACAGGTTCAGCAGAAGTGAAGAGTTAATGTTAGTGTCATGAAGTAGGAAGGAACACCGTACAAACCATAAACATTTTAGCATATATACATAACAAATAACAAAAATAAATATATAACACTGTACATCACAAATGAGATAAACTTCTTTGCATGGTATAATAAACATAACATAATTAAGCCTGTGTACAGTACATAAAGCTTTCCTTAACATGATTATTTGATTTTATGAAGGAGGTTCATGTTTTTCCATTAGTGAATCCAATTCACTGCTTCTTTTCAGGCGGAAGGGTCGATGATCACCAATTTTAACCATTATGACCCCATCATGAGACCAGACATTTTTCTCAAAGTAGACCTCAGCCGCCCCCTTCAGTAGGTCCAACCTCTGCTTTGTCAAGTCCTCTCGGATAGTAATGCCAGATCCCTTCAGAGCCTTTTTCGCCCTGAACATGGCATGACGGGGGCCATAACCAATAAATTTCACTATTATCGGTCTAGGCTTGGAGCCGGGTTTGCCGATGCGATGGGAGCGGTCAATCTGAGAAACATCAATATCCACATTGATCTTCTGAGCCACTTTTACCACAAGATCATCAGTGTTTTCTTTGGGGGATTCAGTAACACCAAAGATTCTCAGATTGTTGCGTCTGGAGTATTGTTCATGCTCTTCTAACCTTCCTTCGAGCTCCTCAATTTTCTTATCTTTTTGTGTTATGTCTTTGGATAGATTCAGCACTTCAACTTGCAGGTCTTCTACCTCCTTAGTCAAGCGAGCAATTTCAGTTTTTACTGGCTTGAGACACTCACTAATTAAAGAAATCAGGTCTTTTTGGCTCATTTCCCCAACCGTCTGCTTGTTTTGGTTTAGAATTTTTGGATTTGGGGGTGGGGCAGGGGCACCGCCTGCTCCGCTTCTTGTGGTGGTCATGACCGCTGCAGGTTAGCCAACCACTGAGGGAAATAAAGTCAGCGTTGGTGTAGATCAAGCACCAAAAATTGAGTTGGCAGTATTGGAGAGGTAAAGAGACAGGCCTGGGTCCCCTAACCTCCAAACAGACTTGCCGGGTATAATCACAAAGTTCAGAACCCACACAGTTTCAAGCAAGACGGATGCATTAATACTTTCATATGTTCCTTGCACTAATAGTCACTCAAAGACACTTCACAAACTGCACAGATTGGCTTCCTTCACTGATAACACCTCCAAAATCACTTCCACTGAATCACCTGAACTTCACTCCTCCGCCATGACAGAGAGAGAGAGAGAGAGAGAGAGAGAGAGAGAGAGAGAGAGGGTTGGCGAAAGCGGTGAGAAACAAAAGACACTTGATTGGGTCTCGGTTTCACGGCGAGAGAGTCTCTCGAACCCAAATCCGACTCAGTCGCACTCGGGCACGCTATGCGGATGCAGGAAATCAAAGGGAGATTTCGCCCGCCAGCTCGAGATTGCGAATCAATTTGGAATACGCCGCCACCCCCGCCGCCGCCGCCCGCCACCCCACGCCACTGCAGTTAC